ACCCTATAAACCCTATAAACCCAAAAGCCTTTGGGGTTTGCCGACACCTTTCGAAGGCGATGCTCGAGAGTAAGAAGAAGAGCATCCCGGAGCAGCAGGATCTCCGAAATACCCTCGACACCCGGCTTAGGGTTTAGGGTTTAGGGACACCCGGCTACACGCAAAGCATGTCTGGTGTCTAATATATTGCGGGCCTGAATAATTCCAATACTAGTTTTTTTTGTTTTTTTGTTGTTGGGGGGGGGGGGGTGGGGAGGGGGCTCCCTATTATAACTATGGTATACTATACATTCTAGTCAAAAACGCCACTACCTTCGGCCTAAGGTTCCTAGGTTTCGTCTGGAATGGAACTATAAGGGCTCCTGTAGAAGGGGCCTTGAAGGGCTTGTAGGCTTAGATGTTCTGGTGGAGGTTTGAGGATTCTGACGGGCAGAGATTTTTCGGGATTTGGGATGAAGGGTTTGCAGGTGTAGCAAATCTGGTACTCGTGACTTATGACTATATGTTTGTACTCATACTTGTATGAAAAAGGGAGCAAACGTAATAATCGCAACATTCATCAGCGTCATGATCAGCACTATCAGCTTCTTCCACCGCAGTTGAAATTTGAGTTCGACCCTCAAGCTAGCGAGCGCCTCAGCATCATCTTAGTGGCTGTCGCAGCATCGTTGACGCCCTTTTCGTATTGTTGTGGGGTTTTGGCCAACGGGTTCTTTGCTTCGTCTTGCCTTGACGGGCTCTTCTTGCAGTCGTCTTGCGGAACAGAAACTGCGCAGGACAAACCGTGGAAACCACATAATGTAGGGGGTTTGAAAAGAGTCACCAATACATACCAATACTATACTGGGGTTCCTCTTTTATAACTTTATAGTTACAGTAGACCCCTAAACCCTCAACCCTAAANNAGAATGTACCCCAAAACCCTAGTCTAGTTTGGAACCCGAGCCCCTCAAGGTGGATCCATCCGCTTTATAGTTTCGCAGCCTTGATTCTCCCTGGATCCTCAACGCAACAACCCCTAAACTTTGCCTCTCTGATGAAGAGAACCTCCAGCCGATGATCTTCAACCCAAAAACCCCTAAACTTTGACTCT